GCAGGCAACTAGGGATTGGGCTTGCCCTCTTCCACCCGGGAGTGGGCCTAAGCCAGCAGATCGTTATCTCCCGTGGGGTCCCAGACTGTGAGAGGGCACTAGTGGGGCTGAGGGACACCCCCCCACCACCAGTGCACAAATTTTTGTGCACCGGGTCTCTAGTAAAATATATAATGGGCTATTGCTATGCAGAAAAATCAAAATAAGACATGCAATAGAGATCCTATAGCTACTCTGGATTTAGTAATCAAAGAAGACAACTCCAGAACACTGCAAACAACCCAAAGTTTCATCAGTAGTCAACAGCACAAATGTCTACCAATCATGATACAAATACACAACAGAATACTGGAGAGAGATTAAAAATGTCAGCTATAATTATAAGTGCTAATTCAAAAGATATACAACGTCTATCACAAAATTTAAAAAAGCAAGGTAAGAGAATATGATTCTATATATATAAATTCCTTAAAGCAAGTACTAAGATGTGGGTATATACATTAAAAATATAGCCCTTGCTGGTCCGGCTCAGTGTTGGAGCATTGGCCTGTGGACTGAAAGGTCTAGGGCAGTGGTTGGCAAACTGCGGCTCGCGAACCACATGCGGCTATTCCACAACATACCACGTGCAGGCGCGCACATACAGTGCGATTGAAACTTCGTGGCCCATGCACAGAAGTCGGTTTTCGGCCTCGGCGAGTCTACTTTGAAGAAGTGGCATTAGAAGAAGTGGGGGTGGACATATAGAGAGGATGAATGAAAGGAGATAGACGAAACAAGTATACAAGACAAGTGAGGATGGGAGAGTTGGAAGGGGTCGACCTCAGCAAACGTATCTAGATCATTTTTAGCAAAGGCCAGCTTAGGAGTACCCTAATCAAGTTAATAACAATGTACCTACCTATATAGTTTAAGTTTAAAAAATTTTGCTCTCAAAAGAAATTTCAGTCATTGTACTGTTGACTAATGAGTTTGTTGACCACTGGTCTAGGGTTTTATCCTGGTCAAGGGCATGTACCTCAATTGCAGGCTCAATCCCTGACCTGGGTCAGGGCTTGAGCAGAAGGCAACCAATCAATGTGTCTCTCTCACATCGATGTTTCTCTCTCTGTCTCTCTCCCGCCTCCTCCACTCTCTGTAAAAATCAATGGGGAAAAAAATCCTTGGATGATGATTACTCATTAACAGTAATACTTTCAGAAATGGAATTTTAAGCGGGAGATTCTATATACTATTTCACATGTGTGTGTGTATTCTTTTTATTTAAACACTGAAATTTTGTTTTTAATCTACACTAATAAAAGAGAAAAATGGTAATTGGCGTACGACGCTACCCTTTTCATTGGCTAATCAGGGCTATATGCAAATTAACTGCCAACAAGATGGCGGTTAATTTGCATATGTAGGCACAATGCAGGGAGGCGAAAGGGAAAGCAGGAAGAAGCCCCCTGCCACTGACAGTGATCGGA